TTAGTAACAATTTGTTTTTTACTATATATCATTTTTATTTATTCCTTCCTAATTTTACCCAAAACATAATTTACTCAATTTGCAGACATTGAATAAGGCTTTTTCTCTCGTAGCTGTTGGACGCACTGGAATTTTCAGTTCCGCTTTGCCCCAGACTTTAAAGCAGGTATGGCATCGGAATTCACTACTGATCTTTGGAGTCGACGGAGCCGTCCGATTGGTTCAGACATCTCCAAAAGTGAGGCCCATGAACTTAAGATTTGTGACAACGATTATTAGCAAATAAACTATTTATTTAAATATTAAGAGCTAAATTAGCTAGTCTATAGAAAGTTTCAAAATAGGCAGGCATAAATGCATTATAGAATAATCAAATGAAACCAAATACACCACAGTACTCCAAAAAGTAATGTTTATAGAAGTTGTTTGACCTTGTTTTCGCAACTTGGTCATATCGGTAGGAAGACCTAGAGGAACGCACTTAGTCCGGAGTGCATGATAAATTCCAGAGTCGGCACGGGGACGTGATACATTTTCAGACTTTTAGCCGGCATCTTCAGTGAGATTGCCATTCTTAAAAGCACACTACAACTCGTCAAAGAGACCAGTGAAGTCGATCCTTCGACCGATTGTCTGTTAAAAAATCGTGGTATCTCTCCGTCTCCCTTGTGCTAATCACCCATCCTATATCCTCCTATCATCTCTTCACTGTCACGATTTTTTACTTGCTTATTTAAATGTGGCTTGGTGTGTCATTTTAGGGTATTTCATGAAAACTATTCTCACCACATAACTTCCTATGCCTTAGTTTCTTGCGTGCCAACACATACATTTTGTGGTTCTACATTGAATCTAATCAAAGCAAGTAGGTCTTTTGCCTTCAGTTAATCTCTCAGAAGCAGAGTGTTGAAAATAACGCCTTGAGTAGCACGTATCAGGTGGAAGGGGTCGAGTGAAATACTTGAACTAGGGTGATAACATACGGATCCTAAGGAAAAAGAGGGAGACTCTGATAAGACCTATTGGAGGAGGACTGCGGACCAATATGACAGAATCTGGTCAACATCCCCAGCAAAATAATGAAGATGGGTGAGGTGGTGAGAAAGCCAGTGTGGGGTGTGGAGAGTTCTCATGAAAGCCGCTCAAAAGGACACACAATACCACATTTAAGTAAGCAAGTAAAAAATAGTATTAGTGGAGGAGTGATACTAGGCTATAGGAATGGTGAATATCCCAGGGCGGATGGAGAGATACCACGATTGTTTAGCAGATAATTGGTCAAAGGATCGGCTTCACTTGTCTCTTTGACGAGTTGTAGTGTGCTTCTAAGAATGGTAAAGAAAACTGACGACGCCGGCGAAAAGTCTGGCAATGTACCACGTCCACGTTCCAACTCTGGAAATCATCATGCATACAATGGACTCCGTACTAGGTGCGCTCCTCTAAGTCTTCCTACTAATATGATCAAGTTGCGAAAAGAAGGTCAAACAACTTCCATACAACGAAGGGAGACTGCGACAATACAAAGTCCTCATCATCTTGATCTTAATACCTTGGTTTAATCTCTATAATTTTTTTTTATTCTTTTGCTTTTTGAGATTTTTATTTGCTCATCTATTCGGAAATTACATCATGACCCAAGTCATATGACGTTTTAGACAATTATAAATATGCACTTGATGCATTCAAGACTGCAACTGGCATTATTTCTGCTATTTTCCATTATTAGATAGCTCCCTTAGAATCGATTAGGCTAGTGGATTTTGAGCAAAAATATCAATGTATAAGTCAATCTTTGTATCTGCAGTATCCTACAATTTCTAAACATTTTGTTGCCATACATTTACCTCATTATCAATACTGTTTATGATTTCAGCTGTCCACTAGTATGTAAATAGAGCTATCGTGTAGTCTCAGGAGTTAGAAAAGCATAATGTGCAAGGACGAATGTCGGAACAATTGCCTATTGATTACTACCAGATTAGTGAATTTATTGTTGTATTTTATCATATTCTTCTGATCTACTGAAGACCCCCAAGTCTGCTTGCTGCTTGATATTAAGTTATTTGCTACCTTCACAAACATTTCTGTATATTAAGTAAACACTCATGATTACATTAACTGCAACGAATTAAGGAGAGGGCCTAAATTTTTCCCTGAAATTCATTGCATCAGGTATCTTTAAAGGCAGCTCTCATCCAGAATCGATTTCAATTTCGATCTCGCCCAGATCTTGTTTACAAAGTAAGCGTGCGTGTGCAGATTCATAGGTAAAATGATACAAATCATATTTTGTTACATATAAATCATGACTTTGGAGGGAAATAAGACGTCTTCTAACTAATATTCATAGTGCGGACTTTCGAATAGATAGACAACTGTGTGTCTTATATTATATTCACAAGGCAACGTAGGGTATTTTGCGACTACTGCTTACTTTCGCCTTTGTGAATCAATGAATTGTGAATTTTAATGTAAGATAGGCTATTTATTTAGACAACAATATAGTAAATAGCTATCCGTCCCCTAAGTGCCATTAGAATATGATGCTCCATCTAAATAATCTTGTACATGCAAACGAATGATGCCTTAGTGTGTTTGAAAAATTTCGTTTAGGCAATACGTATCTTCTCAACTTTCTAACCAGAACCTGCCTATAATCTGAACATATTTTATCCTCAAATTTATTTCCATTCACAGTTCTTAGTAATACAGGAAGCTTGTATGCATTCGGATGATGGAAGGGGCGTGGTCGATGCTGAGGTAAGCTACGATGGACTGTTCCTCCTCACTTGTGGCTTTGATGGTCTTCTGGCTGCCAGCTCTTTAAAGTGAGTCTATTCTTGACTAAGAAGTAAAGGCGAAATTTTACCTTTAATCTTCTTGACTATTTTAACTTGTAATTCTATTCTTAAGGGGTCGATTTTGCATAAATCTTGAGAATCAAGAATGATGAAGAAGACTCATATTTAAACTTGTTTGTAACTGGCCTTCAACTAGTCTTTATTTGTTATTGCATTTCTTTGGCCTGGCAACTTTGAGCGATGACAAAAAAATTTTAGTTCCAATGAGTATGGATTCTGTAAAAGGCCTGGCCAAACAAACTAGTACCTGGGAATTCGCATTTCTTCTATATGTTATAATTCATTTCCGTACTCCTGCAATTAAATACCAAAGATGATTTTTCACTTAAAGTAAGTTTATACTACTAGTAGATATAAAACAAGGTCTATGTCTAGTTTGAATTGGGTGGTTAAGGGTTGATAAGTGAATATTCCCACAATACTATAAGTAGGCCTCACAAATCCACCCAATCTCACATACTTGCCTATTAGAAATTG